ACTAAATAATGCACACGGTAGAAATTTTGTATGTTGGCCCCCCTTTTGTTCTTCAACTTCTTCCATAATAAACCACCCGGTTTCTGATTCAACTTCAACTGCTTCAACAAGAAATTTTGTGTGTTTGCCCTCTGTCATTTGTTGTTCCTAACTTCAAATGTTTAGAAAATAAAATACTCTTAGGTTCCGAACATCTAGTGATCCAAGGAGAAGGTCTTGGCCAATAAATTATAAATCCGCTTCTAAATACATTAAAAAGATTTCTTTAATGCTCACTGAAAATATTTCAGAAAAATAAAAAATTTACATTTTTTACACAAAAAAAAAACGTGTATTAACACTTATAGTTTTCTGTCGGTTTTGCAAATTCGTACATAAATCACCTTTCAACCTATTTATTTCACCTTTGCCTCACTGTGAAGTTTGGAAGATTAAGGTGAGACTTTCCGTCGAGATTTTTGAGTGTAGAACCTCTTTTGACAATGTTCTGTGCTTCGCTACTATATTTTTCACTTATTTTTTTAGTTTTCTAAAAATGCATTTGTTGCTCAATAAACCAAAAAATGCTTCTAGATTCATTAAAAGTTTTAACTTAATGCTCATGAAAAATATTTTGCGAAAAATAAAAAAAATTTCATTTTTGTCAAAAAAACATGGGTGTTAGGCAAACATGACGCACACAAAACGAAGCAGCCTTAGCCCACACAAAACGAGGCGGACCATGGTACAAAAAACAAGGTGGGCTCCGCTCGCAAAAAACAGGGCAAGCTTTTGGCAAGCAAAACGAGACGAGCTCTGTGCACGAAAAATGAGGTTGGCTCCGTGCACGCCAAAATGATGTGAGCTCTGTGGACGTCAAAAGGGGCGAGGTTCTAGCACACAAAACGATGCAAACACCTCACATGCAGAATGAGGCGAACCCATGCACACAAGACAAGGCAAGCTCCGCACACGCAAAATGAGGTGAACTCCTAGGTGCTCAGAAAACCAGTCGAGCTCCACGCATGAAAAAATATATTCTAAAGAACATGAATATGACAGTTTGTTGTAGTGGCAACATAAAAATTAACAAAAATGTACAAAGCATTGCAATGCGTAATTGACTCTGAAAACTTCTTATCTTTCCCCACATGGTTAATTTCTCTCATACATCGGTTTATAACTCTTTGGTTTTTGGTTTCTCACTTTTTTTTTTTTTTTTTTTTTTTGAGATGTCACTAAAGTATATAAGAGAAATGATGGATGAATGAATGAAAACAAAATCTTAACGTGAAAAAAAACTCAAAATAGATTTTTGTTTTGATTTTTACTGTTCATTATGTGTGTTTTTTCTTATACATTTCTCTCACCATTCTTCATCCCTAGTTTCCTTTTTTATTTTTTCACTATTACTAAAAATTAAATGATTATCAAACCATCGTTTAAGTTGCCCCCATTTCGCACCTTTTCTTGTCGATCTTATACATATATGGGCTTAATTTGAATTCCGTCGAACTTAGAAATATGACCAGAAAAAAGAAATTAAATTGACAATAAATAGTGTCGGAAACTAAATTGACAGCCAACTAGCTGGTTAATCACCACCTGATTCATGAATTCATGGTCATCTAACTCCTTACACCGCCCACTTGGAATTAATCTATCCCGGGTGTGACTTGGACACAACTAGCTACAAGCTACGTACGTGTTCAGATTTCACAGAAACGGAATACAATTTACAATTAGTTACACCTATTTTGTTTTCCAAGTTGCATTAGATCACGTGCACAACAAATTTGTTGTAAGTTTTCCAATTGTTGTGATTGGAAGCAAACCATATAAGTCATTTTAATTTTGTAAGTTTTTCTGATGTGAGATTCTTATGAAGTTGCAGGAGGTCTTGCTTAGAGTGTCTTAGTCCATACTGAGACTAGGGAACCGGTGGATTCTATTTTCGAATTAGTGTAGGTTTTGTTTGTGCCACGTTTGGCGGATGATATGGTCTCGCCTTTGAGCGACGACTTGATGTGATCTCGCCTTCAAGTGATGGTTCTATGATCTCGTCTTTTAACGGTGACTTTATGTGGTCTCACCTTTGAGCGACGACTTGATGTGGTCTCACTTTTGAGCGATGATTATGTGGTCTCATTTTTCAACAGTGACTTTATATGGTCGCGCTCTCCAGCGATGGCGTTGTGTGGGCTCATCAAAGAAGATCAGTGTGTGCATTGGTATAGGTTTGTTGCGTTTATCCTTCTTATGACAAATTTGTATTAGTGCACCTATGCTTGTAGTAGCCGTATATTTGTTTGTAATGATCAATGAAATACTGCTATCATTTCTTGTAAAAAAAAATAAATAAATAAAATAAAAAACGACATGTACGTGCTATTTGACAATAACTTACTTTACTACCTAAAGGAACGAACTCAGGATTTCAAAACCGATTGGGTTGTTGAACTTATGAACTAAAAAGTCGAAAATATGTTAAATGTGATGAATGATATATTCAAAGTTAATCAATTATAATCCGAATACATGAAACATGTAGCTAGATTTGTTGGTTCCGGAGGTGTGCTTTTGGCTGAAGCTTCTGCTCCCAGGTGGAGCCTAATCCATGCTAGAAGACACGAGTGTGCTTGTGGAAGAGGATTTCCAAGTTTTTGGTGCACTGTAAGTGCTGGGAAGTAGTGTAGCTGATCTTTGGTGCGGCCACCGTTTGTGGTTCCCCTTCCGTGGTGTGAGAGGAGTGGGTCACAATGGAGCCAGGTGCACATGGAAAAATTCTGGGTGCGGCCATCGTTGGTGGTGACCCTTCCGTGTTGTGTGAGAGGAGGGTGGGACACAATGGGGTCGGATGGACATGGAAAAAGGGAACATGGGGTAGGGATGAGGGAAAGGGATCCTCTCTGGATCTCTTTCATCAAGTCCACCCATCCGGATCGTTGAAATTTGATTTAACGACTAAAGTTATTATAACTTTTAAAGGGGTCCCCTATTTGTAGCCGTTGAATCAAATTTTAAGGATCCGGATAGATGAACTTGGTGGAAGGGATGAGTGGTCCGGTCCGAAAATTCAAGAATTTTCGTATTTCAAGACAAAGGCATAAAACCAAACAACACACTTTGGAGCAATTTTTCAAGAATGTTGCTAAACTCATCCTATTATCTTATTTTTCAAGCCACGTATTACTGAAAATGTTAATGATGTATTTATCATTTTAAAATAAAACTTTTATTTACCAAAAAAAATCTTCCAAGAAATTATACTCACATGACATGAGCTAAGTGTTAGGTCATCTCCAATGGAGAAATCGCCTGATTTGACCAGAAACTCATCTTCAACTGATGACTCGGCTATAATCCTATGGAGCTCACCACACCATTATTTGGCCAAAGGCGCATCAGGCTGACCAAATGTAGTCCCCCTCCTCAGTTACAATAATTGATTCAAATTCAACGGCTAGATATGAAATCATCATATAGTCTAATTGTATTTCTCTTCACTTATAAATGAGAAGTCTTAGGTTCGATTCTCGCTAAAGCGAGTTTGAATCACATATCGCTACCCATTGTGAGGCTAAGCCCACCTGACACACCCCGACCCAGAATGATGAAACGCCGACAAGAACCCCCAGGTTCTTCGGTGGAGTTTCGTCATTCCGAGTCGAGGTGTGTCACCACCCTCTCCCCTTGATGTAGATAATATCGTTTGTTAAAAAAAAACAAATTTAAAGTATAAATTTACAGAATTATAATTAACATTCTAAAAATCTCATTTGGCACTCCAAACTTTCTATAATTAGAAAGAAAAATACACTTGCGAGGAGTGTAGAATAAGATTTTTGAAGTACTAATAACAATTCTTTAAATGTAAAACTAATAAATTATGAGTGGTATGATACCCACCCCATTGTCTTATCTTACCAGCCACCTTATATTCCCACCTTCCATAAAAAGTGAAAAAACACAAACTCTTTCCGCACCCACCAATATTCCCCAAACAACCCTACATATTTTCTTTTTAGATTTAAAAGAAGTAAAATAATTTTAAAAAGCAATTATTATTAAGACCATAGTTAGTTACAACAATGGAGGATAGGTGCTATTCTCGCTGATGCGAATTTGTTCTCATCATCTCTTTACACCCATGCCAAACCGCCATCGACACACCCAAACCCTCAACCCACCCCCCCCCCCCCCCAAAAAAAAAAAAAAAAAAACCCATATCAAACGTATCTACACCCTCAAAACGATGCCACTTCGATACCCAGTTCGCCACCTTGGTTGCCAACCATCGCAATACCATCAAGCCTCAATACCGCTCTGGTGCAGAATCTCTATCATTATCCACTTTAATATAAATCTTCTGTGAAATCTTCCATGAAATCATCTGTGGAAAGCTTGTGACAAGAATTCTAACAACTCACTCAATATTGTGTTCGCCTTCCTCCACTTTGGTTCCTTGGCAACCAAAGAATATGAAACCAGTCAATGCAAGGATGGGAAAAACAAAACCACCAGATCTTATTGCAATGACCGATACGAATACAAATCCTGACAAGGATTTTTCATTGTATTAGAATGTTCATTGAGGCAAAAGCAATAGCCAACTTCTCACCTTGATGTTTTAGGTCTTTGGACGTCATTTTACACAAGGATAAACTTGTCGATAAAATTATTATTTTCAAGTAGGTGAGAAAATAAGACAATGGAATGAGCTTAATAGCACTCTAAATTATTGAAAGAGTTATGTTTAGCTTATTCCGTCACAAGTGTGGTTCATTTAAAAATAATTTTTTATAGGACTGTTTGTCTGGACAGGCTGTGTTTAGCCATTTCCGGTTGGAAATAGCCTTAATACCTTCTATTTAGACACGTGTATGATTAAACTTTGATCTAAAACGTCGTTTGCTTGTCCATTACCATAAATCAAATCCAAATTACAATTTTTTTTGTTTGCGTTTTTATGCAGTTCTAGCTTGCCGAAATTTACCCGGAAAAGAAAACGCAGAACAGAATCAACAACAAAACGAACAATAATTTGAGAACAACCCAGAAGCAACATCACATCACTGCTGATTCAAATATAACCTCCAACATAATCCAACACTTCCAAATACAACTAAACAAAAATAAAGCCTTTTGTTTCTTAATCTACGAAGACATTGTCATCTTTTCAAAGCTTGAATCTTTGCCCTACTTCTCAGACGAGTTGGGTCCCCTCTTCTTTCCGAAGCCAACCACTGCAACGATCAAACAACACACACAATGATTTAATCAAAAATAACAAAACATTGGCTTCTCATAAAACATAAATTCCCAATTGCCCTTTTCATAAAATGGTTTAATTCCACAAAATATTAACTCGACTTGTTATACAAAATTGATTTCAGGAAGATAATAAAGCTGGAATATTGGAAGGGAAACGGTGGTGTTACCAGCGGTGACGAATCGGCGGTTGTATTGCAGGCGCTTGTGGGCGCGGCCGCGGGGCTTCTTCTTCTTGTCCTGCTTGGCCACTTTGGGAGTTTGCCCTCTCACCTTACCGGCACGAGCCAAAGAACCGTGGACCTTTCCTGAAGATTTTGACAAATACACACATTAATAAACAAAAAAATGGAAGATAAAAAGGTGAAGTAAATGAGACCTAAAGGATGAGAAACGGGGGCCGAAAGAGATGAACTGAGCTCACCCATGGCTGCAGAGTGGTGTAGTTGCAGAGAAAATCGGGAGGACAGGTAAACGGCGCGGCGGTAAGGAGACGAGTGCTGTGAGAAGTAGGGTTTTTGGTTGTTGCTTCGTTTTAAAGGATAGATGTTCAGATTTGTATGCGTTCACCTAGGCCCAGCGCATTTTTGTTGGGCTGAAAGAGTTTATTGAAATGAGCCCATTTCTTTTAGTTGGCCCTGTGAGATTGTTTCCGTCCACCAAATTTAACTTTAACATATTCACGAGAGAATGATTAATAACCACAATATGTTAACAAATCAATCAACAATTGGAATTTTAAAAATAACCATTTTGTGAATTTTTCTATACTTTTCCTCCAGTAGGTGCGATGTGAGAAATTTATGAGTATAACTGTCACTCTATTACGTGTTGTTTCTAACTCATGTGCTATAAGTGAATGATATGGCTAATATGTCATGGACCTATGATATTAATTAGGGAAATCGACTAAAATGATTAGAAATCAAATTCGCATTGCTAATCTGGTCAAAGTAGTGATTTCAAATCTCTTACGCATATTTTGGTAATGTTTATGGAGTGCATTTTTAATCTCCTTTAGCTATTGTTGGATACTCTTACGGAAGACAACTCTTTATAATTTTGCTTGTTTTCTCTCTTGGTGTGAGGATAGGTAAAGTCAGTTGTTCGTGCGGGATGCTCTTTTTTCCTTTGATCTGGTTGAAAGCCTCAGCAAGGTTGTTATCAATGCCCATTTAAGCACACTATCAACTGCTTTGTACGTTTTTATCTTATATCAATAAATATCGTACTTTTCTAAAAATAAAAATAAAACATTTTATCGTCCATTTCTTACTTCGTCTTTTTTTGTAATGATTTACCTACTCTCCATCTCTTGAGACTTAAAAATTCATCTCAAAAAACACAACACTAGTGCTTTTCCTTATGTATGTTGCCACTCAATTGTTGAGTTGCTCTTTGGGATTGTCAATAAGTTGCCTGGTCCTTTTGATGGGTCAACAAGTTTGATCACATGGGTCGAAAACAACACATCCTCGTCTACGATGATAGGATGAAAGTAAACTTTTCTGACCACTTAATCTCTTATCCATCCAACCAAACCAAATCAAACTTTGAGAGGAAGGAAGCGCAAATCGAATTATCTTATCCAAGTAATTAAACTGATGTTGTTGGGTAAACTGTTCTTGGTGGATTATTGTTGCTGTGTCAATGTCAGAACACAAAAGTGTAAGTGTGACAAGACGATTTTTAACTCGTTTTTTGACCGTCTCCCATTGATACTTTAGTTAATGATTTGAATGTTTTTTTTTTTGCCGATTTACAATCACGTTCATGAGAAATTCTCTCTAGCTCTGATGTCAGATAATGAGGTACGAATATAAAGGAGGGAAATCTGAAAACTAATCAAGTATTAACTAATTGAACCAGAAAATAGACCGAGTAGATACAATTTGGCTTTAAAAAAATGGGAGACTTTTATGCCTGCTAAGAGGCGAGAATGATTTGTCGTGGTGGTTACGCATCTTAGGCTAATAATGGGACAGATGAAGGAAAGTGAAAGAGACTATTGGTGAAGCAATTATTTTGGGATAAAATGTTATTAGAGTTCTAATGAAATCATCGCATAAAGATATAGAAGAAATATCTATCACGTAATGAGGTATAAATCTCTTTCAATTCTCTCATCACGTGATTTAACGTATTAATGTCAAGAAAATAGACACTTTTTCTTTGATAGTTTCATTTGGAAATCATCAAGCCATTATATGGGGGATGCAAAATGCCTTAAAATGGGAATTTTACATATTTCTTTGTTGGAAAATTTTCTAATAGCAGAATGTAAATTATACATTTTCTCCAAAAGATGTAAATAAAAACATAATTTACATCCTTTGGTTATAAGTATCACTACTTAAGAAAGAAAAATTAAATGAAATCTCAAATTTACATCCCTATCATTGGAGTAAAACTTTTATTACATCTACCGAAAATATAAAAAAGTTGTAAGAATAATTTTCATCTCAAAATTGCATTTTCCCATTAAATATGCCCTCACACCGGCTAAATTCCACTCCAATGAAATTAGTGTGCAAAGTTGAACTGACATATCGTAAGACCAAGTTACGAGTATTTATTAATTTCTTCTTCTTTGTCATTGATGCTATATACATAGAAATTTTAACGAAAAATCCATGGTACTGTTTATTTTAACGAAAAACTACATTTTTATACTAAAAAGTCAATTCTGGTACTATTCATTTTACCCTTTATTTTGTCCTTATCATTACAACTCAAAATTTTCAAACCATTTTTATTAATTTTCTCATATATTTGTGTCTAGGATAATAAATAGAAGAGAAAAACACTTTCAAATTAGACTTGGATGTTAGCTGCACTGTTTTGACTTAGGTGGTCATGATGACCGGTGTACTAATTCTAGAACTTCAAAAGTATGAATCAAGGGGAAAGATGGTCGATGATACCAACACTACTTTTTTACCTCTGCAAATTATGTCGCAAAAGTTTGTGAAGTGCCCACTTGATCTAAAATTCAACACTTGCCATTGATAAGTCGCATCACAGCTAGCCATGCAGCTTTCTCCTGGGAATATAGTTTGTGTTCAGATGCAATGAGATTAACTATGAGATATTTCTATGCCAATTAATCACATACTCCCTCAATCCAGTCATATATACCATATCATGTTCATAAGATATTTCTGGGATGGAGACGTTGAAGCGCTCGTCCATTTTAACCTAATATATTTAGTTATTAGTCATGTGTACGTAATGAATTCGCATACAAGTATCTCCCTGGAACTTCAAGATAAATGTAAGACGAAAATTCTATGGAATCTGTTAAATCTCAAACCCCAAACCTTGGAAATCAAATTTTTTGTGTTAATTTTGACCTCACATGAATAGGGATTGGAATCATTTTTATTCTTTAGTTCCTTGCATTTACTAAAAGTTATTTCACTAATTAATCTTCCTTTATGTTTACTAACACATATGAAATCAAACCAACTATAAAGGGGATATAGCTAGTTGATCCCACTTCATTTCCTTACTTCCTCTATTTCTAACTTATCTCTCATTTCTATTAAACAAACATGTCTTACGAATTAATAGCCAATCAAAACATAACATGATAATTTAATCTGCGCAAGGTCCATGTATGTCAACAAGAAAAAAACAATCATGCATGCACATTCCGTTTTGGAGTAAAGTATGCCAAATATATGTTAGCATCATCATATAGCATTTTAATATAACATTAGAGGGGCGACTTTCAATTGAGTCGCTCTAGTAATGAAACTAAGGATCTCTTTTTTGAATCGCTGATGGCTATTTAAGCCAAGAAGGTGACCGGCAAGAGACTCTTTTTCTGCTACCTTCATGTTTTGAGGGGTCTAAGAAAGTCCAAATCCACGATTCCAAAAGAACACTAATATTGACCAATGTGTTTATCTTTGAAACCAACTTTATTTTTCTCAATTCTTAATTTTCCTTTTCGAAAATTTCCGCATGCTAAAATGGAACAAATAATATAAAAAAATACCCTAAGTTCTCCTCAAATTACAAATAATAGCCCTTTTGGCCTCTTTCCTACTCTTTCCTTAGGAGGAATACGTTGACCAAGTCATTCTCCCATACTGTAAAATAAACATGGAGCTCTAAATCCTACGTTATATTATATATGTCAAACAATTCAAATGCATAAAGCAAGAAAAATAGCAGCCAATATTGCCCCGTCAAACAATTGCTTTAATTATTTTCCAACTAACTCACATTCTTAAGGTCATACAAAGCTGTCTGAAACGAACCAAAGGCTACAGACTCCACAGCAGTTTCACAAACAAGACCCACCGGCTCTTTCCTTGTACGTACCCACTTCCATCTTTTACACTATTTGCATAACTTTCCCTCCCCTATATCCCTATATATATATTTTGCTATCTACGTTTTCTCTCCAAGCCACGGAGGGAGCTAAATAGAGTGCAAGGAGCAAGTAAAATATAGGGGAAAGCAAAATATCAAAAATGAGTAGAGAAGCAAACGAGATTAGCTCAGCTCCTATAACACCGAGGCCGGCAGCTGGGGCTCCAAAGGCTCCGGTGGCACCACAGCCTGCGGTGTCTTGCCCGCCTTCGCAGTACAACTCACCGTCTTTGTCTAGGTCACCGCTTCTTGATGGAGTCTCAGATCAACCAGCTGCGGGAGGAGCCGTTGTGCCGGCTAGCAAGACCCCCAAGGGCTCAAGAACCCCAGCTGGTATAAGGACTCCAAGGATGTCTTTGACTCCATTCATGACTCCCATTGGTAGCCCTGTCAGGAAGGCTTTAAAGATGACTAGGCTTGATCCTCAGGATGCTTGGCTTCCCATCACTGAGTCTAGAAATGGCAACCAGTACTATGCTGCCTTCCACACTCTTTGTTCTGGGATTGGTATCCAAGCTTTGGTGCTTCCTGTTGCTTTCACAATTCTTGGCTGGTAACCCTCTACAAAAACCCAAAATTAGTATTCGTTTTGCAAACTTCTGATGTTGTCAAATTGTCAATCTAGACTCTATGTAATTGGCAACGCAACATGTCAAACTGTCTTTTCCGGAGCTATTAATTTTCTAATTATGGTTTCTCATAGTTTTTTTCCCTCTTTGTGATTGATTTGCAGGTCTTGGGGTATAATATGTTTGACTCTAGCATTCATATGGCAAAGTTACACCCTATGGATACTGGTTCATCTCCACGAGAATGTAGAAACTGGAGTACGTTACAGCAGATACATGCAGCTCTTTAGTCTCACCTATGGTACGATTCCAATCAAACTTTATAAGATTTCCCCCAAGTCCATCAACGTTTTTCAAATTCAACTTTCTGCACCATTAGAGTGACTGATTATTTATACAAAATGTTGCAGGTGACAAAATTGCAAATTGGCTAGGGATGTTTCCGATCATGTATCTATCTGGAGGCACCTGCGTGGCCTTGATAGTGATTGGTGGAGCCACTTCCAAGCTCTTCTTCCAAACTTTATGTGGGGCCGCATGCACTTCTAAGCCATTGACAACAGTTGAATGGTACTTGGTGTTCACATGTGCTGCTGTGCTGCTATCCCTCCTGCCAAACTTGAACTCCATAGCTGGAGTTTCACTGATTGGAGCTATCACTGCTGTTGGGTACTGCACAGCGATTTGGGTGGTTTCTGTATCAAAAGGCAGGCTTCCTGGAGTTTCATATGATCCCATTAGAGCTCCGAATGATGTGGATAGGGTGTTTAGTGTGCTCAATGCCCTTGGGATCATTGCTTTTGCCTTCAGAGGTCACAATCTCATCCTTGAGATTCAGGTAATTGATAATTTTCATCTTAATTAATCACTAAATTTTAATTGAATTATTTTTATAGATTAATTTGAGTTGGTTCTTTCAACTCCCAATGCTTTGGCCAGTGAGAACCTGCAAAATTGGTCAAGGCATATATTTTTCAGGGTTTTTGAAGTCAGAGACTGATGCCTAACTAATTAAATTATTAAATGTGCACTACAAGTCGATGCATGTTATTGCTTTTACACATGGAAAGTGACAGTTTTGACCAATTTGAACATCTTCATATTAATAAGAATCCAACTGTCAATGAAAAAAAAAAAAAAAAATTAAGAGGATGCTTAAACGCATGCAGATGTAGTACAACTGTTCTAACAATTGGAATAGTTTTAGTTTTCCCAGTTAAATATTTAATTAAAACCAACCATGACCAATCATGAATCTTTATCTTTATATAATTAAAATTGTGCAAATTCATGCTTTAATTTATTTTTTTTTTTTTATTTTAGTTTTTAAAAGGCTTGATCTTTAAGGATTCTTTTGCCTTTACAATAATAGTTTGTGCATCAAATCAAAAAGAAAAATTTAAATATAAGTGTGGGGGTCCTCAACTCTTAACTTATCATGATCATCCCCATCACCTAGGTTGAATAACTTTAGGTTGGAATATTCAAATCATAGACTTAGCTTTCTGAATTCAATGTTTTTGTGTTGCAGGCCACCATGCCTTCTAGTGAGAAACATCCCTCACATGTGCCCATGTGGAGAGGAGTGAAGGTGTCCTATTCAATCATTGCTGCATGCTTGTTTCCCCTTGCAATTGGAGGGTACTGGGCTTATGGTCACTTGGTAAGCACCTTAATCCTTAGTTCTTTTCTGTACAGGACGTTCGTTCTTTATCAAAGAACATGCATTCAAACATATCCTTTCTTTCGGACGTCCTACACATGGAAAATTTGTCCTGATCATAATCAACAAATGTTTAAACATGAACTGTAGATTTAACTCAAAAGATTTTAATATTCTGTTTTGCTCCCTTTTTAACAGATACCAGCAAATGGAGGAATGCTTCCAGCTGTGTTCCAGTTCCATTCACAAGATGTGTCACAATCCGTACTAGCGTTCATAAGCTTGTTTGTGGTGATGAATGCACTGTGCTCGTTCCAAATCTACGGCATGCCAATGTTTGACCACATGGAGTCCCAATACACAAGCAGAAAGAAAGCTCCACTTCCATGGTGGCTGAGGTGCATTGCTAGGGCAATGTTTGGGTTCGGTGTCTTCTTCGTCGCGGTGGCAATTCCATTTTTGGGAAGTGTGGCTGGTTTGGTTGGAGGCATATCACTGCCTGTGACTTTGGCATACCCTTGTTTCATGTGGATCAAGATTAACAAGCCTAAGAAGTATAGTCCTATGTGGTGGCTAAATTGGTCTCTTGGGATTTTGGGGATCGCTTTGAGTTTGGTTTTGATTGCAGCTGGAATATATGTTGTTATTCAAACTGGGATTGAAGTCCAATTCTTCAAGCCTCACTAATAAGGCAAAAGTTATTACCAACAAAAGGAGGATTTGAAAGGGGGATTTGTGGAGAGTAAAACAGAAGGGTGGATTTGCACATTAATTTGTCTTATTGCTAAGTGAAAGAAAAAAAATATTCACAGTGGTAGTTGCTATTGAGTATCAAGGGAAAGATCACCCAATCATATATTTTTGGTTTTTTCTTTGGGCATGGAAATGTTGTAATTGAAATGTTGTAATTGATATTATAGAATCTTTAGTGTGTGTAATACTCAAGTAAAATTCTAAAGATTGGATTTCTCTTTTCATTTTTTGAATTTAGAAACATGGCTGGCTTTTGAGATGCATAACTTTTTATTTTGATCTTTGACAATGAAAATTGAGAAAGTGGTTTCTGAGATTGGATAACCTCATTTTGGTATTTTGTGAAAAAATATGTCAATATATTCATTAAGTGGAGGTGTTGGTTTGACGAAATATCTTTAAAAAGGTGGTCATGTGTCGCTCACGTGACAATTTAACAAGAATATTGACAGAATTTTCACGAAATGACCAAATAATTTAAGGTTGACAAACTCAAATACCACTTCTATCGATTTTCATTATTAAAGGTCAAAATGAAGAAATACAAATCTCAGAAACTATTTTAACTAATAACCCTTCATAAACACATGTTTACATCAACTATGGTCCCCTTCCTCTAGGCTGCCACTCTAATTATAAAATCAAATCCCATTAAGTTAATTAGTTAGGTGGGAGAGCCTAATTGTAACCCTACACTGGTCTATTGTGGACCATGCTAGTTTTATTATTATTCAATTACACCGTTTAGCTCTTTACATACAAGAAGTTCCTCCTTAAGTACAAATCAGTATAACATATTTAACTAGAACCATCAAATTTTAATAGGTTAGAAGTCTCTGGACCAACGTTTTTCTTGCCTACCAATCCAATCATTCATTTCAATATCAAATTTGCGGTCTCACAGTGCCTCATAGCTGACATCCAACTCCGGTCCTAAACATCCTACCCAAAGAGCAGGCTTCATGAAACTCAAACATGGCTGCAGAGTCACAAGGGCAACAACTGCAACTGGTCAGCATGCCAAATATAGCAGTTTATTCAACTGAGATCAGCTTATTGGTCTCAGAAGGTGGCTCAAAGTCAATACAGTCATGTGATGAATTTTGACTAGCGGTTCGACCAGTGTGGACGCATGAAACTACGCAACTACTCGGAAAACGATCCGTAGGGAAATAGTAGGTGGATTTAATTTACGTATAGTTTTCACACCAACCAATAGTTAAAAGTAAAATTAAGAACAAGAAAATATTTAGTAGGGTTGTCTAATTAGAGCGATTCTCACCTGGATAATATTGTGCGGGGTGGACTAGGATAAAAATACAATGAGTTTCACACTTTGGTAGAATGTGCTATGCGAACGACACAATCAGGACACTCAACACCAATTTTTCTCCTTACGAACGCCCTGACTTTTGATGATTCTTATTGCAAACATACCGTAAAATGCACGTGGAAACCTAGTTTGCTAGTTAATACACAAGTTATTTCTTCTTGCTCACAAATCATAGTTTGACATGCGTACAAAAAAATTTCTTTTGTTAGTTCAATGAGCTGCGTTTTCATACGCTTCAAACTACGATTTGTAAATAAGAAATGACTCGTTTCATCATTTAGATGTAAGAAGCCAAATAATATTCTTTACAGTTCTCATTGTTCATCACATTACACAAATTACATTTATATACCTTTAAACTACGTTTGAACAATGTGAAAATATTGCAGGGCTACTGTAGGAGGGAATGAATTCGGTTACTTATGGGAAGAGTTCAGCTGCGTATATAAACTGGCACAAATAATTCGGAATCTCTTATCCAGCAAAAAACAATACGATCAAAACCGACTTCATGACAAGCCTAAAGATCTAGCCTAAAATAAAGTACAAACCATAGACCCTGAACCAGTTCCGACTTAACCATTTCCGGTCACCATATTTTGGAGCTATCTAAACAAAATACATGCGCCGATGCGCAGATATGGCCCCGGTTGGTGCTCCCTATAAATTTAAGGTAAAACGAATGACAAATTAATGATACAAACCTCACAATGTCAGCAACAACGACAGGTTACAACATCACAACAGGTGTAAGGTCTAGACTTTTCTTCAAGTTGCTGTGCTGTCGGAAATGGTTCCATTCTGTAATTACTGCTTCGAACGCAGCAAAACTCGTATAAATTTCTGCATGCTCCTTTACTGAAGGGATAAACTCTCTCGGGTATTCCTCTGTCGATCAAAACAAAGTGAAAAGAACTGAGAATCTAAGAGGATAACAGTCAACTAGTTTAATTCACATCTCATCACAATGTTCCTAGCCTAGTGTATGCAAGTAACCATTCTCCTATGTTTGGATAATGGATTTGCAAGTACCACAGGATTTAGGCTAAATTAGTTAGAAACTACAGAACTTCAGACAGAGGGATTTGAAATGCACTACACAATCAACATACGATTTACAAATGACTTGAATGCTAATCCCTCTCAACACATTGTATCTAGTCATATCAAATCCCTCCCTCTCATCTTTCGTAGTTCATTAGTAACTAATTTATAACAATTTGAAACACAATGATAGTTGGGGTTCTGTAGAAACACCTTGTATAGTCATTCTTTTTCTTTCATCACGCAACTTTTTCATGCATTTAAAATTTTGAACCACAAAGTAGCTATGTATAAACATATCTAACCGTATTTATATTTTTCACATATATTTTCTTTAATAATCAAATACTAAAATATATAATATGACGCTATATATTTTTAACATGCTATGACTAGTTATCTATAGTAGATAATATTAAATAGTAGAAAAGAAAAGAAAAAAACTAACCTTAAATATGGGATGCGCCTTCGTCTTACAAGCTCATAAGTAGTCTGATTGGTCAGAACTAGATAACTGCAGCAAAAGAAAAAAAAGAAAATGAACGTTCAACTGATACACTTCAGTTATGCTTCTAAGGTAAATGACTTTTATAATGATAGTGCTCGGTTAGATAGAACGAAGCAGGGGTGGGGGAGCAGGAAGAGACATAAAATCAGATCTCCCAATTCTTTAAAAAAAAAAATTTACAATAACACGACTACTGCCAGCATGATAACACAAACAGATGGCGAAGTTTTCAGTGAAAGCATTAAAATTAGGTACTTGTACCAAAGTGAAATTACAAACATGTTGTCATAGTATGGAAAGAAATGCCTTGCATCTAAGAAACCGGAAGCAGATGTCAAACATAAAACTTTACCTATGAAATATCAGCAGGAGGAGCAGAAAGATAATGATAATTGACAAAGTAACCAGCAGCAATATCACAATTGCATCCTTCCACCTGACAATTATACATTCGGAATCCAAATTATAATGGACACCGATTACAACAGAAAAGAAAACCCCAAATGGGCAAATAAACTTCATCACAAAACAATAAGGACTATAGTATTATATAACAAAATATAATGACATTATTATCACAATGTTAAGGGCAGAACTTAAATTGTTCCAATGAAATAAGAACCTCACAAAAAATATCATACCAAGCGACTGATATATTAGCCTTCAGGTAAGTGATGTATAGGACCGCGGTCCACAGGCACAGTGCTGTCTCTTCACAAATGTACCACCTACAACATTAGCCCAAAAGACAGAAGTTCTTGAACAGGGCTTTTTACACGCAGTACTAAAATATACTGATTGCCAATCCTAGTAATAGCAACAAGACTATACAGTTTCATAAGGTTTTTGAACCATTGACAAGAAGAATAGTTTAACCAAAATTAGAATATAATTCTTTGAAGGCGAATCCAATTCAAAATAACATATTAACATGACTCGGTTAAGATATAATATTACTTTTTTACTTGAAAACCCGATAAGCATTCTTTGGAGAAAGCTACAAATCATAATAACATTATAAGAAAATGTGCAATTCTAAATTCAACAACTGGTACTCGTCTCAGCTTATCACACAACAAACAGAACATGGAATACCTTCTGTCTAATAGTCATAGACAAACTTTAAAGATGCAAATTAATTATACCCAACTTTATGTTAGTACAAAATCACACTTACCAAAATTTACAATGATTACCCACACCAATGCATGTTCCGAGCCAAACACAATGATGATCGAACTGAAGAACACATTTGTCACAATCATGACAGTGCTTTGATCTCGGGGGCTGCATACAATTCAAAAGAAAATATAAATTTGCATTATAGGTAAGTAAGAAATCAACAGAGTAACAGCAACAAGATACACGATAGGTTCATTTCCCAGTAAATTTATGCATGGGCGATTTTATACACTAAGAATCATGAAGCATAACCTGAAAAATAGGGGGAGTGGACATCTAGAAGAATGTGGCTAGAATCTTGTTTGGCAAGCACCGTATAAATTTGAATGCTCTAAGGTCTCTTCTGAAGAAATTCATTTGTCCCAACTCCCAAGGTCCTAATGTGAATCAGATGAAGTTTTTCAAGAACCTTGTTTGATGAGAAAGGTGGGAAATCGTGGTGTTAATGACACGTGAGGAGTCCACAGAATCCTTCTCTAGTTTTCACTTTAGGATGGAAGATTGTCAGGAATTCACCTAGTCTATCAACAAAGGCATTTAAGTACAGAGGTTTCCAGGCCGAGGTGCTTAACTAGAACTATTTACTCAGTCACTCTTATAACACTGAAAGTACAGAAGCAACTATAATAGGAGAAATCTTTTATTATTGTTCGCCTCTTTCCTAAGATGGACATCTTCATGTTTCCTTCTGAATATTCCATCCTTTATAAAGTTTTGTTCCTTATTCAAAATATGTTGGCAAGAGATATAAACAACCATAAGTATCAAACAAGATGAATATGTAAAATTGAGAGGGTACTACCTGCTCAACATTACAGTACGAGCAAGTCAAACTTCTGCAATAACCAAAAGGAGGCAGTCAGCAAATATATATGTGAAATACCACGACTTATCTAGCTCTTTTACTCATCTTTTTCATTCAATCTTGTATTTAAAAGGAATTGGTTGCATTAACACAAGTTTAACTCTATTTTCCCTACCTATTTTATGTTGAAACAAACACAGTTAAGATGAAACACACAGAATAATGTGCAAACACCAAATCATCACTTTGAAATGTGCAATAAAATGATACTGCTCTGATAGCGTAAAAGTAATTGCATACCTAACAGACGTTCCAGGCGGATACAAGTCCATCACAAGTTTGGTCCAAGATGTTGCATTATTTCCCAGAAGACTTCTTCCCAACTGATTCCGTTCCACTGTCACAACCACACTGCCAGTTTTGCTTGGAGCAGGCTGTCTTTGCTTAAACGTTACAGCAAGATGACATCAGAGAATTAGTTCACCACGGAATTGTAAGATCTATGCCTATAACCTTTATCATATGAACAAAGAAATAAAATTAGAAAGACAAAAAACAAAAGGAACCAAAGGAAAGTAACGCTTACTTTGAGATTCCTGATGCTTTTCTGAATATTGTATTTGACTCATTGACAGTCCTCATTGCATCCACGACATAGCTAAAAGGTAAACACAAAAAATCAATAAGTCAAAGGTAGCTGGAATTGTAATTCAAGCATCAACAACAACATCAAAGCCTTATCCCACTAAGTAGGGCCGGCAGTATGAATCCTAGAACACCACTGTGCTTGGTTTTGCAGAATTCAAGCATCAAGTTTTAAAGAAATCACAATGACTTGAAATCAGATCACAAGCATCAAACTTGCAAAGCATATTTAAACAAATATAATTTGAAGGCAGCATAGATTGGCATTTACCCAGGAGAAGAACCAGAGGTAACAAAGTATTGAATCAATGTCACAACATAGAGAGTCAAATATATAGCAGTATACCTGAAAAGGAGCAAAAAAAAAATACAAAGTAAGGAGTAGGGTTAGGGGTAAGCAAGAAATAGATCACTTCAATAGGGTGACTCCGCCATTTGTGCCCATATATAAGATCACTGATCCTGACATTCCATAAGTCCCACCACTAGTTCAGACAGAATGTAATTAGTCACTTGTAAAGCTTCACCCCCAATGCGAATGCACACGTTACTTAACAATAGGCACCGCCTTATCAATTGACACCCATCCTTGCATACGTATCGAGGTTCAATTCACTTCGTGATCTTAAACTGAAAATTGACATTATGCAACTACAACACTACAAACGGCCTATATATTTAAAAGTTCTAAAGTAACCCGTTTGCGCAAACGAGCTAAAACTCTTGTTAATCAATATGTATTAGGATTTTCACCAAAAATGAAATGCAATTAATAAAAGTAGAGAAGCATTAGCATACCATGGTTCCTTTTTCGTTTTCTCAATCAAACCTCCATCAAACAGAAAAATTAAGCCGGGGTATATTAGATGTAGCATCACCAATGCAACTTTTAATCCCAAAGCAGACCTCCGAGCTGAAATTCAAGTACCCAAAACATAAAAACACAATCTTTTTGAATCAACAAAAAGTCAAGCTCTATAACAATAATAAAAGGGCAAAATCCTGGACTCAATTCAGATAACAAAACTAAGTAGCTGAACCGAAACAGTCAGATTTTGTCTTCTATTCCGATTTTTCTGAAAATAAATTACAAATTTGAAGAAGAAAAATAACTCACCGGGATCGGAGAGACAGGGAAGGAAACGGGAGCATCGCTCAAATGGTCGACACAACGAGTCCCGGCTGATGTTCACGCTCGTCATCGGACGAAATTGAAAGAGAAAATAAGGAACTGGTTACATCAGTATTCTGCAAAACTGGGTTTTCCGGGAAAATGAGTTCTTTCGCTCCAATTGAACTTTCTCGGTAAAGTGATGGAATTTGGGAAAACCCAAGCGGTTAAACTGGAAGAGCAACGGACCTGCGAAAAGGGTTTTGGATTTGGGTAGAAGATTGAGCTTTTTTGTCAGAGAAACTGGAAATTGAATAGGTACGCCCGTGGGCCTTTGTTCTTATGTCTAACACTTCGATTTGTCATGTGCGTGTTTGCGCATACCACCCTCGTTTAAGGTTTTCCAACCCCTATCTACATTTCACTCTATTAATTAGATTAGTAATAATTATTGTCTGATTTGGCCCAATTAAAATGTCGGTCCTTGGTTTTTAAAGTCCAACAAAAGTTAAATAATTATCTGCTAAAACAGTAAAAAAAATGTGTTAAAATATAGGGAAAATTAATGAAAATAGCTTGAAAACTTTGAGTCTTAATAATAAGGACAAAATAAAAAGTAAAGAAATAGTACCAGGATTGACTTTTTAGTGTAAAAATATGGTTTTTCGTTAAAACAAACAGTACCGCGAACTTTTCGTTAAAACTCCCTAAAATATAACTGGCTAAAATTAAGAATAAATGAATACTCACTGGCAAGTAAGCAAGTATTATCGAAAGTAAACTTTCTTATTTATGAGAATTGATAAGATAAAATGTTGTGATTTACTAATGTAACACAAACATGTTTTATGTGGTTTAGTGTTTCAAATTTCTTATGTGAACAAGAATTCTTTTATGTGTTGCTGATTTACTCAAATTTTTATATGGCCGACTAATCGTGTTTTTTATTTTTTGATCTCATTCTCAACGTGTTATTTTTTATCTCATTCTCAACAAGTTAACTTTTCTTATTGTATAGAAAAACTCTAATACCTTCTATTTTATGGTTTAACCCTTGGATTTTGAGAACAGGTCGGACAATGCCTTAGCATTCGCATCATGCGTTAATGCTTGGGTAACATAAACACTACCTAAGGAAACTTCAATTTAGTTTACCTCCAAGTATATTTCTTTTGTATTCAAATTCAATTGATATGCTCATAAAATTGGATATCATGAATCAAACTTTTGGACTACACATGACAATGACATTGCCTTAGGATTCACACTCTTTTACCAAAAACAAGTGTTCATACTTGAGAACGTAAAGCATTATGGTTGTAATATTTTTTTTTTTTTTAAGAAACGATATTATCTATATTAAAAAGATAAGGAATAAGTTTAGCCTCATAACAAGTTAGCAATAATATGGTTCAAATTCATTTTTGACTATAATCGAACCAAAATGAAGAGAAGTACCCTCATACTGTAATACTAAGCAGCATTATGGTTGTAATATTTAATTGAAAGAGATCCAAATGAAACTTTAAGTGAAGTTTTAATTATATGATTGTGTTAAGCTCATGGTTTTGTGCGTAAGCGTGTAAAATTGAACATGAAATTTAACAACTCCCAAATAAAGAGGTGTCATTAGAGGAGCCCACAGAACGTTTGGTGGTGTCCGTGCTCGACCGAAACAAGTTAGATATGTCATGCCCCGATAGGTCCTACTAATCCCCTTAACATACAACTAGCCTTCATGCAGCAAGATATTTTTTGAATCACGGTGTACTACGTATGATTTACACATTTTAAATATATTTATATACGTGAATTGACAAAAAAAAAAGTTAAATATTTGAAGTAAATGAATAATCTTAAATCATGCTAGAAAAAACTCCTCACAAATCAATCAAAACAGCTTAATTCACATAATAAAATCGATCTTTCAATTTTCATCTACATTCTATTGAATTTACATTAAGAATACAGAAAATAATATTTAATAAACAACTTATTAAAAATCACATCATTACTAACCCATTGTGAGACTAAGCCCACTCTCTTCCCTTAGTGTAGATAATATCATTTGTCCCAAAACAAAAAAAAAAAAAAACAATCGTTTGACAACTAGTTTAATCATATTACTATGTGCATGCGACTGACCTTTTTTATAACCGGCATTACACGCCTCTTAAGATGTTTTTAACATGTTTAAAAATAGAGAAAATAATATTTAATGAAAAACTGATCGAATCACATTATTGCTAGCCTATTGTGAGGTAGTAATTAAAAAAAATTGTACAAAAAGAATTAATTATTAGAAAAACACAGTTAAAATGATGAAAATACCCCCTGCATTATTTGGTGCATTATTTTGAGCTGCTTTTAAAATTTTGTGTTTTGGGAGCATTTTTGTCCAAAAAATTTTGATGAAGCTTGTGACCCCGAAAAGGGTTGTTGGCTTTATATACAAAGATACAATAATATAAAACCTAAATTCAATCCCCCACCTAACTAAACAAACAGTCGTAGGGAGCACCAATCATTCAATTGCAAGTTGCAACCTTTTAAGACTACTCAAAGATGAGTAGAAATAGTGTATATAATATCATTTGTTAAAAAAAAAAATCATATTCGAATTTCAAAGTTTTTTTGTTTATAATTAGAACTGTTCATATTATGAATCACTCTATAAAGATAATCCATGCAAAAAATAAATTAAAACTAAGGTAGTTTAGTCAATCTACTATAGCAAATACATTGACAATTCATAATGTTTTTACCAATTTTGTTCATCTGTTTTTATATAGTTCGACGACTAAACTACCTTAGTTTTAATTTGTCTTTTACAAAGATGATTTTTATAGAGTGACTTATACTATGAACGATTTTAATAAAAAAATACAAAGTTCTATAAATCGCCAACGAACAGTTTTGAGTAGGACCTATTACTCATCATTGAGCAGCCAAATATTATTCGCAATCTTTGTTCTCATAACATGTCATCAAATTAACTATATATGTATTCTTTAAGAAACATTAATTCTAAAAATGTGTAGCTAGAGAACTCTATTGGTGTTTGGATTGCCAATCTGCCCCACAAAACAAAAACAAACATCTCACCATAATAAAAGGGTGTTGTACTTTTTTTGGTAAGAAAAAGGATGATGTTACCAACATTTTAAAATGTCAGCTTGCATTCTCAGAATACTAATAACATCTTTCCTCTTTTCTTTGGTGTCAAGAAAATGAACCAGAAGGTAGGCAGCTCCAGAATCACTGTGCTAGTTGTTGATCTTTGGTTGATCAATGTTATCATCATGATATCGTTTCTCATCGTTCGCAAGGTTGCATGTATAGCTTGTACCGTACAAGTTATTTTATATCTAACGGACTACACCCCTCAGCTAGCCTCCTTAACCAATAAGGCGCATTGATATCAAAAGGAAATTGAGTTTTCATCGTAAAGCTAAATAAGGAGTGATTCAACTTTTTATAAGTCTTTGCAAAATTTGATCCATGAGACTTTATCATTAACATTCTTACAAGACGCTCTGTTGTCGGCAAAGGTTTTGATTGGGCTGCACATGTGCTGTTGTTTTGTTGACTGTGTGGGCTTTGCTAGTCGTTTTCTAATTATTTGTTTGGCCTTCGGCCCCATGCAAACATCAGAAAATGTAGATTGTAGTTAAAATAGATTAGGGTACTTGAGAAACCAATCTCAGCATGAAGGACTTGGAACTAATGTTGCTTATGCTTTTAAACTTATTGTTGGCCAGATCCATCATTCAAATAGAAATTAGGGTTTGGTTATAAGAATAATGATGTTCCTTTATATGAGATGAAAAGGTTTGGTGCTACATGTAGCCTCGTCGAGCTCCCATAATTTTAGAGGTGCGTTTCCCCCAATCATGGTTGGGTTAAGTTAAATAGTGATAGAGCTTCGAAGAGTAGTTTCAGTTGTGCTGGTATGATGGTGTGTTTCGGGAATTCAAAGGTAAGTTCTTTGGAACTTTTTGTTCTAATCTCGAGATTCCTAGCTCTGTTGTAGCAGAGGAAATAACAGTAATTAAAGCTATTAGTAGCTTCAGTTCGGGATTAAAATTTTATTTGGTTGAAAAGTTGATCCTGCTTTGGTTCTTGACTTCTTGCACTCTCCTCAATCGGTGCCTTGGCAATTCAGAGTGGAGTAGAGGAACTGCTTGTATAGAATTTTCCAAATGCATTTCTGGTCTTCTCACATTTACAGAGATGGTAATCAAGTTTTTGATGCCCTTGCAAATCATAGTTCCTCTTTTAATGGTCTTATTTGGTGGGATTCTCCTCTTAATTTTATATTGCCATTATTATCATCGTCATTATGTGGGCTTCCGTACTACCGTTTTTTATGGGTTATTTTTTGTTGGCCTTGTTATATCTTATATTGGTCATTGGAGATTTTGTTTGTTATGGCTGCTATCATAGTCAGAGTTAGGCTTTATGTCCCACTTATTTACTTACTTGGACATTAAAATGATAATACACCTAACTCCAAAAAAGACATGGAGATGAAAAAATAAAAATAATTAAACAAATTAACGAATAAAATGGAAAATAAAAATGAAGATCGAGAAATCTTCCAACAAAGAAGAGGGTTAAGAATTCGGATCAGGTTTCAAGGAGTATGTTTCTACTCATGTGATTTCCTCATTCACCAACTTTCCGCTAGTAAAGCTTCCACTTCTTCTTTGTGGGCGGTGAAAATGGTAGTGGTCGTATCATGGCAGTCCATACCATTTCACCAATCTCCATGACCTTCTTAGTTGGTAGCTTGAGTTGTAGGGTGGAGTTTGTGGTTGTGCACGCGTTGGGTTTGAAGGTGATGGCCTGAAAGGGGTGATGGTGACCGTTACTTGGTGGAAGTCATGCTTCCATGACCTTCTATTGATGTTAGAGACAAAGTAAACTCTAGTTAATTTAACAGAAATTTAATTGGAGTTTAATGGATGTGACAATTTTAATAGTTTTGGCATTTGTTGGAAATGTTTAAAAAGTTTTACTAATTTAGAATGACACTAAAAGATTGAGGGGTTTTAATTAGGTACTTAATCATTTTTTTAATTTTTTGTGAAATATTTGATAGATTACATAAGGCAATCATAATTCTTAATTTTATACTTTTTAGTGGCTAATTGGAGTCCAGTTTTATACTAGGATATCCTTTAGTATCCCTCTGATTCCATAGTGTATTGATTCTAACTAACAATTTCCCACGCCCAAAAAATTTACACAAACGTTCAGGATTCCTAGTCGTTTTCACTTAGCAGCTGTTGATATACATGCATTCACACACACACACACACACACACACACACACACACACACAAATATGCATATAGCATTAATTAGCCCGCTTCTTAGTAGGAATCTGTTCCATCGTATTTATCGCAAGGGACCTCCATATTATGAAAAAATGGGAAAACTGTGAAAAGTATAAGATGTCTTATATGAAGAATACATAATTACCACGAGGGTTCTATACCTATCTATTTTTGCTACAGGAAAACAAAATCCTGCTAAGAAGCTGCTTGTGTGTGTGTGTGTGTGTGTTTGTATTTGTGTCACAGTTACACAAACTGAAGGACCTAGAATTCTCAAAAGTAAAACACATGCAACTACGTATACCATGAAGATGGCATAAATCAGAAAAATATCGATTAAATCAGCGCATCCGGCACGACTAAACAAAAAGAAGAGAAAATTAAATTAAATTCACTTTTAACAAGGGAATAAGCAATGATTAATACAATGCCGATCGATGGAATATGCTGCAGTCATGAGTCATCATAGGGTTAAATCACTAATTAGAAAATTCCGCCTCCAAAAATTAAAATAAACCATGTTTAGTTGAACTAGTTTAATTAACTTCCTTGTATACATCATACATATGCGGCTTCTAGGTTTAGCCACTAAAAATACTGTTTGACTTTACATGCTGGCGATGGCATCTTCTGGCTTTCGTTTTCAACTTGTCCCGTAAATTTGCAACAATCGACGTAGAGTTCTTCACCAAAGCTCTCTATATATAGTGTTATATTTGACCTCTGATAATAATATAGACAACTTACAAATTATAGAACACATAGCTCATAAGACAGAGAACTAGCCAGCTTCCATGGCTCAGAGTTTGATATCAGTACTCTCTCTTTGGCTCGTTGTATTTCTGGGTTGCATTGGTTTGCTTGCATGTTCTCAACCAACTACGCCTGCCATTTACGTGTTTGGTGACTCCACAGTAGATGTTGGAACTAACAATTACTTGCCTAATGCTCAAGCAAGGGCTGACCACCCTTTTTATGGGATTGATTTTCCTCACTCTAGAGCGACTGGAAGATTTAGCAACGGCTTCAACATTGTTGATTATCTTGGTATTAGCCCGGCCACTGACCCCACTATTATTTACATATGATATAATTTTTTGGTGTGCTCTCGTGTTACGTTATCATTTCACTCAAATTATAACATGCCTATTTTTTATGATATATAATAGGAGTCTGACATAGTAATTGTGTCGTTCACCTTATGTTATAATGCATGAAATTATAACATTATGTGACAATATTTTTAGTACTCAAATTTCTTGTTAATTTTGTTAGTTTTATAATAATCATAGTTATTAAATTTTTTTTAATATGTTATTAATTAGCCAAGTTTATGGGTTTCGAGCTGAGTCCGCCCCCTTTTCTCTCTCTTTTGGACAAGAAGGAGGGAATTTACGGGAATATCATTTTCCTAAGTAAAGGAGTCAATTTCGCTTCCGGAGGTTCAGGAATTCTGGATGAAACTGGAAGACGAAAGTGGGTAAGCTTAATTCTCACACTTAATATGCTCTCTCAGGAATACAATCAAAACAAAAAAAGAATATACAAAGTTGACACATTTACTGACATATTCTCATAGACATACAAAAATAATATACTTGCTGACACATTTTCGTAAATGTAAGACTTGCTTCTATTAAAAAATGTATCAATAGTATGTCAGTGTTGTATGTCTAATAGTTTTATTGTAAACGATACAAATATGTGTCCAGTATTTTTGCTCTCACGTGTGTATATAGACACTATGAGAAATGTAAGGAGAAAATTATTTATAAAGTTAACTAGGTTATACTGTGCACGTAGGGAAATGTCGTTGCCCTTGGAGACCAGGTCCAGCAGTTTGCAAGAGTACATGACATCATATCAAAATTACAGGGTGAGGGTGGATTGGCTAATATATCAAAGTCTTTCTTCCTCATCAGCGTCGGAAGCAATGACATCTTCGAACATTTTCCTATTAACCAATCTACTTCTGCAAAACGCTTCGTCGCCACTCTCATGTCCACTTATGAAAGTCGATTAAGGGTACCATTAATTAATTACCAATTTTTCTTCTTATTTCTTTACATTGTAAATTAATCATTAATCAAAGTGACTTCTTAATGATCCGTTTGATAATCATTTCAGTTTTTAGTTTTGACTAAAAACTTGTTTAGTAAATATTTTCAGTTTTAAACAATAGTCAAATTTTGAAAACTCACAAAAATAGCTTTCCGTTTTTGGTCAATTTTTTACTTTTTGAAAGCTACAAAAAATGAAAATTGAAAACTGAAAAAAAAATGAAAATTGAAAACGAAATAGTTATTAAATTGTCCATAATTAATTAAGAGTCTTTTTCTTAAAGTAATGTTTTCAATTGCAGAATCTAATTGACCTTGGAGCCAAAAGATTTGGGATTATTAGTGTTCCCCCAGTTGGGTGCGTCCCATTGCAGCGTAATTCTACTGAAGATGGTAGCTGTTCTGAGCCCATGAATGAATATGCCATATTGTTTTATAAGGCACTTCAAGGAGTCTTGCAGAGGTTAAGCGCAGAATGCGAAGGGGTGAAATATGCACTTGCAGATGCATATTCAATGACCACACTCATCATAAACAACCCGAAACAATTTCGTAATTACTTAAACATCTTAATTTACTCTTTCAGTCTTTTGGTAGTGTATCACAAAAATAGTATAGAATGTAACGTACGTGTGTGTGTGTGTGTGTGTATGTTATAAAATCTGTTTTTTGTGTGTTGGCATAGATTTTATAAAAATGATTTTTCATGTGTAAGCCCCTAATAACACTACGGTTAAGAGAAAACTTTTTAAACCAATTCATTAGGAAAAAAATATATAACTGGCTCTGTCTTTGTTTGTTGTAAAAAAAAAAACTGTTAGAAAACAAGAAGTCAAATGACTCAGCTGCTATGTCAATTATGACATCTCTCATGAAGAAAACTTTGATATCGTTTAGCTCCTAGTTAACGTATTTGACATGCTCTGGTACTAAAGGAAGTTTAAATCTTCGAATCAATTGAAGCATTGACAATTAAGTTGATAGATGAGAGTTTTTTTCTAATTTTCTAATTACTATTATAAAGATTTTGGCACGCTACTAATAAAAGCACTTATGAGCAAACTACTTTCTACAGAAGTACATCCAAAAGGGCTTTGATATGTACATTTGTTTCTTGTTTTCAAAGAATTTGTATGTTATATAATAGACATCCTAACATTTTGTAGGGTTTGAGGAGGCGACAAAAGCTTGTTGTGGAAAAGGAAATTTTAATGCAGAGTTACCATGCACACCAGACTCGGATTTGTGTAAAGATCGCGATGTCTACTTGTTCTGGGATCAATTCCATCCAACACAAGCTGCGTCTCATCTTGCAGCTCAAACTCTTCATGCTGGTGGTGGATTCGTGGCCCCCATGACTTTTGGTCAATTGGCCTTACTTACATGATTTAGATATGTACCTCGATATAATTAAGAAGATAGATTTCTTAATTGATTCGTATATAACCATGCACGTGTCTTTCTGTTTGGTTGTTCCCTCTTGTAACAAAAAAAAAAAAAAAAAAAAAAAAAAGAAAATGAGAACGTGGAGGTTTTTTGAGCATGAGGTTCAAAAATAAAACCACCTTTTGACCAACATTTTCACGTTATTAGTGTAAAATTAAAAATAAAGATATAAAGAAGTTTTTGGAAGTATAGTTGTCAAGAAGTTATTAAATTTCCCAGTATATATAAGTTGGAAATTCGCATAAATTTGCGCAATAACATATTGATTATAAAAGAATGTGCGCAATTACCTTTCAAGTTATTTTATTTTGTTACATGATTTAGCAATGAAAAAATTGTTCTTTTGTGATAAAAAAAGTCACGAGTTTAAGTTGTGGAAACAGCTTCTTTGTAAAACAAAGATAAGGCTATATGAAATTTTTTTTAGCGAGTATCATATAATTACATGGTGTTATTATTCACATATTGTAATGTGAGAAAATCAACATGGTTGACAACTTAAGTATGCGCATGATCATCCGTCTTAACTACTAAGTAGGTTCCTGGAAAACGAAGAAAGACAAACACAACCATTTGAAGGACCAACAATCTTTTCATATCTTTTTTCTCATTCGTTATAATTAGTCCAAAACGATAGTTAATTCTTAGGAAATTAATGTACATAAATAAGACGTGCATCTGCATGATAATGATAGAGCTTCGACTAAGAAATAAATATAAATTAAAGAAGACAGTATATACAGCGAAGACAGTCGACATTAAAGAAATTTGACAGCATTAAAAAGTAAACAAAGAAATATAAGTGTCGAACTTTACTTATGTAGTTTCAGTCAATTAAACTGAGCAGAGCTTTCCTAATTTACTCATGTTTTATAATTTAAATATTATAATTTTTTTTCGTGGTTAGAGAAAATTAAAGAGAGCTGACATCAATTAGGGTTTTAACTTTTTAGATTGTCCATATGCTGGTGAATTATATATATGATCACACTCACAGCATAAATACACACGTATGAGTAATATAGAGGCTGGGACGACAATGATATAACGGTTCATGATTGATGTCCATACGTGTGTATATTTAGGCAAATCCGCCGTAAAAATCAAATTCTTGGTTAATATAGAGGCTGGGACGACAATGATAACATAACATCCACCTGGTTGTTCATTTTTCAGTCCTTTCCGAATTATAAGGAATCGACAGTTACATAAAGGGAAGTTACCCAATTTGGAACTTCGGCCGGCAAACATATATATCATGGCAAAGCTTTGTGTTTCATTATTTGCTTATTTGTTTCAATTTTCTTTGGGCACATAGCCACAGACTCAATTGGGTGAGTTAAAATTAAGCAAAAGTCCGCCTTAACCTAACTAGACCTCTACTGGGTTGATGTCTTTCATTCCTGCCCATGTCAACCTAAACTCAATTCGTTTTCTGCACGTATTTGCTTGTGCATATATTACCAATCCCACTCAATACTATATAAGATATGCATAAATTTTAGGATAACAGTGCTTCAGTTTGTTTTTAGTTTTCTTTTGTATAATGAATGACAATATTATTTTTATAATTCTTTTAAATAGGGCTTTGATATTGTTTTGTAATTTAGTTTCAACTTTAAAAGGTTGAAAATGAAATGGTCCCATGCTATTTAGTTTAAGTTTTGAGTGAATGCTAATTTGTGGAATTAAATTTTAACTAGTATTGCCGTTATTTAGTTCAACTTTTGAAAAATCTTGCAAATAAGTTGTTATAAGATTGAACTTGATCAATTTGGGCAACTCAAGCCTAACCGGAACAAACCATAAGCTAATTAAAACTCGAGCTCGAATAAATAAAGTATGCACCTGAACCTAACTGGAACTCGAATTGTGAAGATTAGGTTGACCTTCCAATCTGCCCAAATTACACCTTTATTAGTAACCGATACATTGGTGGTATTTTAGGAATAATAGATAGTTGGAAATAAGAGAAAACAATCAGAATAGCCACACAGCCTACACTAAACATAAAAAAGGCAGGTAATTCAAATAGTTAAGGGTATTACATCTAAAGTCTATGAGCATTTCTACCTTCCCACTATCTCTTTTTTCTTTTGGTCAAACAACTAAATTTCATTAAAGATAAAACACACTAATACAAAGTAAGGTTAGTCTGAAGACAGTCCACAACACAGTAAAAGTGCAACCCATTACAAAAGTAAAGGAAACAAGCCCCAAAAGTGAGCCCAAGACAAAGCCTAAACCGAAAACCCTAGATCTGGAAACGAAAAACAGTCACTTCCACCAAAATTGTTGCACCACCATCGCCAAGTTGCTATCACTGGTAAGAAGAACCAATGAATTGAAGGAATGAACGGAAAATAGGGGTGGGCAAGCCACCCGCACAAAAAGTACTCCCATAGTCCTACCAAATAATGTGAAATGCACTTTAGTAGCCATACCTTCCCGCTATCTCTTGAATTGGGGAAAAAATGACTTGTAGTAGTGTCATTCACTCCATATGCATTCTCCTAGTCCACTTAATTGTAATTAACGAGTTTTGATTACATACATATTATAATTAGGATGGTTTATTTTATCAACCAACAATCATCTCTTCTAAAATCCAGTCAAATATGGCAATCAGTACAACAATCTGGTAGTATTCATCTTTACTTGTAAGCGAGAGATCTTAGGTTCGAATCTCGTAGATGGCGAATTTGATACCAAATTAGGTTGCTCATTGTGTGATTTAGCTGAATTCCCCCCCTTCTGTTAGTGTAAAATATATCATTGTACTAAAAAAAATCCAATCAAACATGAAATTGTTTAATCATTTATGTGTATCAAATAAAATAACGGTTCATGATAAAAATCTTAATTGTTATCAGAATTGTCGAATTATACAATACATGTGAAAAGGGAATGGAGAAGAACACAAAGAGGTGGAATGGAGAAGAACACAAAGGAATGGTCCCGTCTTCCAAAGGAGCTATGGCCAATGATGGGAAAATGCCTTGACAACCGCATCGACATTCTCCGATTTAACTGCTGCTGCAAGTTATGGCGTTCCTCCATCTCACCTTTTCAGCAAACCATTTTTCCTCCTGTTCTCTAAATATTCTTTTCCGGTTATGCCAAGGCTGCCGTAGCTGAACTCCGTCAAGCTACAGTATACCGCATGGAGTCAATCCTCGACGATGAACCCAATTCGTCAAAACCATGGCTGGTGAAGTTTGACGATTCTAATTCGGGTCATATGCGATTACTGCGTCCCATAACTAATATATATGCCACCGAGGTTCTCCTCTGTCCCTAAGAGAACTTCAATTTATTGGATTTTAGAATTGTTGAATTGCAAAAATCATTTAGTCTTAGTATTAGGAAAAACAGTCTACTTTTGCTCCTGTGAACAAAGTGGTAGTCATGGATCAAACGCATTTGGATGATTGTGGTTCTTTTCATGACACATAGTGAAGGAAGGTTGGGTTTTGTGAGATTTGGGGATGAGAAAGGGACCCATGTGGATGAACAAAACTGTTACTACGATGATATCATTGTTTATAAGGGTCAATCCTATGTTGTTGATAGATGGGGAACAATTTCAAGGTTAAATTCTGAGTTGAAGGTGATTCAACTTTCGCCTCCATTATGTGGGTTTGGTGGGCTGAAGCATTTGGTTGAGTCTTGTGGTGACCTTTACGTGGTTGATCGGTACCTCGAGAAGGAAAGGTTGGATATGGGTAGGATTCTAGGTTACCATGCTCCGAATAACATTTTTAATGCGTCATTATTTTCCAGCTCCTCCTAATCCTTTCTGTGTTCCTTGTGGTGCTGAGGCAATGGATTTTAAAGTTTTTAAGTTGGATCAAGAATCGGGAATATTGATCGATGTGAAAAACTTGGAAGATCAAGTGTTTACCTTGAGCAACGAATGGTGTTTCTCCATCGCCGCACAAGGCCTTGCTGGAGTGGAAGGAAATTGCATTTTATTCAACGACCGTAGGCCTGCTCATAGTCGTGTGTTCAACTTAGAGGATGACGGCATTAAGAACCTAGAAGCTTTCCCTGGCTGTTCTCGGATTCTCTCACCGCCCTCAACTTGGCTCAGCTCCGAGTGATCAATGTCCATCTGCATGCTGATTTCTGTAACTGTGAGAATATCCTTACTTGTCAATGACTCTCAGTTTATAGATTGCTTACTGCTGGTTACATGCGTACACATTTTCTTTTACGATGAGATAAATGCTGCAAGAGGTTAGCTATTGTGCATTTTTTTAACAAACGATATTATCTATATCAAGGTTGAAGAAGTGAACTAAGCCTAACAATGAACTAACAATAATGTGGTTTAAATTTGTTTTTGGCGAAAATAACGCAAGACCTCTCACTCACAAGTGAAGAGAAGTACTATCAGAACGTAGTACTAAGTGGCAGATATCATGCATTTAACGACACAATAAACAACAAGGAAAATTAAGGGTCCTTCAAAATCTGAAAAAAAAAAAAAAAAAAATCTGATTCTCATCCTGAACCCTGAAAGAAATATTCAGCTTTTAATTAATCCCCATCACCTTGTTTATATAGAAAGGTTTCTTGGATTATTGCCCTAGTAATCATTGTCAGTACATCGACAACTTTAGAAGGTAAGCTGACTTTGCTGTGTGCTAAATAGATTTTCTAATTCCCTGAATATTTTTTTTACTAATTGTGTTATTTCACTTAGAAAAACTAGGGTTGCTTTGGGTACTAGTTATTTCTCGACACTTGACAGGGAAGTTGCTTTCTGCTAATGAAGACCCTTTCTGCATTTCTCGAAGATGGGATATCAATTTTCTGAAGGTGAAATACTATGAGGTTCTGCTAAAGAAAACCTAACTTTTCATATGGAACCCTTTTCTGTTGAAATGGTTTTTTTTTTTTTTTTTTCATCTTATTCCTTTGCGCCTAATTGTTAATCATATATCATTTCTTGAACTTGCTCGGCTTCAAGGTCTTCCAAATATAATTTGTTATCTTAACAATTGCATCACTTTTGTCCAAAAAATAAATAAATAAACAGTTGCATCACCAAAAAATTTGAAAAAAATAAAACAATTGCATCACCAATAAAATCTTGGGGGTTTAGGAAAACGAATTGTTATGATTTTATTTACATTTATAAATAATAATTAAGAAAATGAATAGCTCTGATTAAGATATTAGTATAATTATATTTTTTTAATATAAAAGGTATCTCACGACATATACTCTCCTCTCCTTGCAATGTGGTTACAAGCTTACCTAATAGGTGATAACGTACTTTTGGCCCTATATCAAATGTTAGACTAAAGTAGAGTTGGTGATCCAAACAAATGTGTTAATCACAATTAGGTATTTTATTAAAGTGGGTCTACAAATTGAGTTTGGTTTCAGTTCTTGAGTTCAATACATTAACACAAGAGTTTGATTCTCTATATTAATAATCAACTTCTTGAGAGAGTAAAAATAAAATACCGGTCATAGAGTAGAAATTTGATAAACCTTAGAGTTAATCAAACATAATCATCTCTATTTATCCAAATTCACATTACTGTGTTATATAAAATAAATTCAATTTGACTATATATACTAATCAAATTTACTTTGTATTTGATCAAATATCTTAGTAGATAAGTGCTAAGTTTTTACCATGTTTTTTGAGTTTAAAACTATCAATAATATCAACAACAAAATCATCTCTCTTTAAAGAAAATCGACTGTATAAATTTTAAAATATCACTGCACTTAATTTTATACCATCTTCTATTAGCATCAAGTGCCCTACGTAAAATGCATCGAGGAGGAGGACAAAATGGAAATGGAATTATTTATTATTCCACCTTTTTCTTTTATTATTTTTTATCCATATTACCCCACCTGTTATATCAAACAATAGTCAATCAAATAAGAGATTTTTCAATGTGGCAGATACATGAGATGGTATATTATGTATCATTATATAAATTGTGGGATATATATGCTAAAAAATTAATAACTTAAAAAATAAAATTTCATACTATTCCTATTAAAACACATGATGTACCACCACTTATATTCCCGTCACGACTAAAAATTTCCCCGCGATTGAGTAGACAGGGACCCCACCATGATAAATAACAGCCCATTTTTCCGTTGATTCTCCACTCTGCTAAGTCGATCGAGATGGAGACGAAGAGGGTGGAGTGGTCCGATCTTCCCAAGGAGCTATGGCCGGCGATCGGAAGCCGCGTCGACAACCGCATCGACGTTCTCCGGTTCCGCAGCGTCTGCAAGACATGGCGCTCCGCCGTCCCCCCTTTTCAGCAACCCATTACTCCTCCCCTGCCCCTCAGCTTCTCTTCTCCTTCCGCCGCCCCTGATGGTGGAGCTTTGCAGACTCAATCTAAAGCTCTACTCTTTCAAATCACAGTCTACCGCATGGAATTTCTAAAACCCAATTCGTCAAAACCGTGGCTGGTGAAGTTTGAGGAGTCGAATTCTGGTGATCTGCGATTGCTGCATCCAATCACTAATAAGCCACTGAGGTACTACCCTGCATCTAATACTCCAAAGGATTTCAATTTGTTGGACTTTAAGATTGTTGAATTGCGAAAATCGTATAGTCTGCAATTTAGGAATAGTATCAATGTTGTTATGGCTTGTGTGAACAAAGTGGTAGTCATGGATGCAAAAAACTTGAATGACTGTGGTGTTTTTATGATTTACAATGGCGGAAAGTTGGGTTTCGTGAGGTCTGGAGACGAGAAATGGACCCATGTGGATGAACAAAACTCTCACTATGATGATATCATTGTGTATAAGGGTCAATGCTATGTTGTTGATAGATGCGGAACAATTTCATGGGTCAATTCTGATTTGAATGTGATCCAATTTTCGCCTCCGTTATTTGGGCTTGGTGGGAGGAAGCATTTGGTTGAGTCGTGTGGCGATCTTTTCGTGGTTGATCGGTACCTTGACAAGTGTGACATGGAAAGGTTGCCCGAGCACAATGTCGAGGTTAATATTTTTGGTGCTAATTTTCAAGCTCTTCCTCATCCATTTGATGCTCCTCATCATCCTTTCGCCGCTCCTCCTAATCCATTCGTAGCTCCTCCTCATCCACTTGCCGCTCCTTTTGATGGTGAAGCTGTGGATTTTAAAGTTTATAAGTTGGATCAAGAATGGGGTAAGTGGGTTGATGTGAAAAACTTGGGAGATCAAGTGTTTATTTTGAGCAATGATGGGTCTTTCGCTGTCTCGACTGGAGACTTTGGTAAAGTGAAGGGAAATTGCATTTTATTCACCGATCAAAAGCTTCCTCATTTACAAGGAATTGGAGGATCCAAAACAAGGTGTATTAGTCGTGTGTTCATGATGGAGAATGGCATCATTCGGAACCTAGCTGCTTCACCCACCTATTACGAGATGCTCCAGCCACCATCCAGTTGGCTCAGCCCTGCTCTTGATGATGTCTCTCGCCATCGGCTTGCTGATCGGTTAATGTAAGTGTGATATGCTTTATTCTTCTCAAAATGTGAAATGTTTACTGATTACATGCTTACAAATTCTCTGTTTTTGCCATTCGGTAAAACTAAAGTGCTTTGTATTTAAAACTGAATTTTGTCTTCAGAATTTAATAGCTGATAAGCAATTGGAAGGAAATGGAATTTCGAGGTTGGGGTCTTGAGCGTGCAGTGTATAATGCAGGGTCTTAAAACACTTAATTGATAAACAAGCTTAGCTGTTTTGAGTAGAATATATTCGTCTAGTTACAATTTGAGAGTATAGTTATTCAGATCAGACTTCTTCAAATCTTAATTAAAAGATTCTGTGTAAAGCGCGTTTAAGCCTCATCTTAGTTATGGAGAAGTTTATGGGGTATTGTTGTAGGAATCATTGACACCTTCACAAGGTTATATCCGTGGTTACGAACTTAGTACGTGCCGTGTGCTTTGTGCTCAACAGTTTTGCTAATTCCCTGAGTATTGTGTACTAATTGTGTTTCACTTGGAGAAACAAGGATTTCTTTGGTATTAATTATTTCTCCACACTTCGACAGGGAAATTGATGACAGCGAATGAAGACCCATTTCTGCATCTCTCGGAGAAGGCGGAATATCCAATCTCTCACGAAGAGTGATTTGTATATTAAACTAGTGTAAAATTATCGAATCTAGTTTTTTTCGAACTGTAGGCGTGTGGTCTGTCGATGTTATTATGGATGTGTATATACGGCTTATGCAAGCTGTTTCTCCGTAGAACTTGGATCTTTTGATGTTCTAATTGGTAATGTAATGGGTTTCTTAGATTTCAAATGGAATTGTCACTTGTTTCGTATCTTTGTCAACTGCAACCCATAACGGAGACACTTACTTGAACTTGTTCTTGTCCTTAACACACGTTAGAAACCATAAAAATTGGTGGAACAGTTGGATTGAGTCTTATTGTTGGTTAAATTTCGTGTACGATTTCTTTTATTTTGCGACTTCCTATTGAGATCTTAGCACATAGGTTGTAAACTAGACATTCACGAACAAAACTCATTTGATTTTATAAAATTCGATTGATGATTTTGGATGATCGATTTGGTGTGTAAACTCCTTGCACTACTCTTTTCTTCTTCTTCTTGTTGGCTGTTTGCCTCAGGGTAGGCTTTTCTGTAAAACTTTGGCATCTTTACCTGGATAATGCGCTGTATCCCGTTTACCAAAAAAAAAAGTGAACTTATCGAATTTGGAAATGTAGGGGTTGTTTGGTATTCTTTCCGTGCGATTATTGGGCATTAACTTATGGGAGTTTTAACGAAAACCCTGCGGTACTGTTCACTTTAACGAAAAATCATATTTTTACACTAAAAGTCAATCCTGGTACTATAGATTGCAAATCAAGTTAAATAGTTTTCTGTGAGGTATGCTTTTGTTAAATAGTTTTCTTTTAGCCAGCCCAGTGTTCTTGCAGTATATGGATTCCAAATCTTCCAGTTCATTCCTTTTGGCCGCTCCCAACTTATTTATCATTATGTAATTATTTACTAACTTTTCCACACTCAGTCAGTGCTTGAGTCAATTTTAGTTGTTATAATAAATTTTCATATGCTTGTGTCACTAGGAAAAGGAAAATTTGATTATCATGGTATTGATATGACTGAATTAATTACGCCGTCTGATATAACGGTTTCGCAGTCTCACTAGAAAGTCCCTTCTTAAGTAGCAAGCAAATTGGCAAGTTTCATGAAAAAAATGTCTTGCGTAAGACCCAACCATTTCATGGAAAAAGGTGCAGGATATAAAATTTGACACACGCAGATTTTGTAATGTGAGGTATCCCACTTGGACTTTCATCCTTGTGTTTTAATTATATTGGTTTGATAGTAATTTTAGGTTGAATTTTCATAAAGATTTTGGTCAAATTAGTATTTTAGTCAACTGTAACTAAAGTGACAAAAGAAGTTAATATTTAGATTTAGTGCACGCAATTGTAATTCAAGTGGTTAAGAATAATACCAGTTGAGATAATAGGTTTAGTTTTTGCCAAGATTCTAAAAAACGCTAGGCGCTAGTCGGGCAGCGGGCGGGCACCTAGCGGCTAGGCCGAATCTAGGCGGCCTACGCGGATTTAGGTAAATTTCTTGTATCTCTTGATAGTAAGTGCATATTAACACTTACAAAAAATTATACTTATACGAAATTCATGAATACAATAATAAATAAATAAATGATAAAATGCAAAACTAGTATCCAAAGTTCAAAATTTAAAAACACACATATGTGCCATATTAGACTATTAGTTAAGATTTTTTGATGATTATATCTAATTTTCATAAAAATAAAAATAAAAATCCCACGTGTGTGGTGTGAAGAGGTGCATGCATCCTCCCCAATTTCGAAAAAGCACCACGTGTGTGGTGTGACCCTTACCCTCCACCCCTAGTGCTAGTCCCCATCCCTCACATTAGTCAAGAGACTCCTTTTTGACGTCTTAAAAACCAAAAACTTTGATTGATTTTTATTCTTTCTTTTTTCTCATCGTCTTCGTCTTATTTCCTTTCCACTCCTTCTTTCTTTTTCTTTCCGTTTTCCTTCTGTACATTCCCTTTTTTTTCCTGTTTCCTCTTCTTCTGTTTTGCGTTGTAAGTTCCTCTTCTTCGATGAATTTCAGAGAGAGGGAGTCGCAACAGCTAAGAAAGTTGTGGTGCACAGAGAGAGAGAGTCGAAGTGGTGGAATTTCTTCCCAAGAAACCTCCACTCTGCCTAAACCACCACCTAGACAGCTGCCTAGATCACCTAAGAGAGCCTAGGCAAGCGCCTAACAGCTCCCCAATTTTTCTTAACGATTCGGACCTAATCGCATCAACACCACCACGCCTAGGCCGTTTTTTAGAACATTGGTTTTTACAACTCCAATATAAATTGAATAAAGCAAAACCAAATAAAAGCATAAAAAAATGATGATTGTTGGAGGAAAATTTAAGGGTATAATTTCCAGACAAGGGTTTCTGCCCTCCCACTTCCAGTGCCCTCCTGTTTTGTGTGGTCATGGTTAAGCCACTTCAACATTTTATATATATATATATATATATATATATTTTATAGAGATAATAAGACAAAAATGAATAGTAATATAAAATGTTAACGTGGTTTAATCGTGACCACACAAACACGAAGACATAGAAGAAGACCGGAAATTAGAGGGCAGACAATCCTTATGACCTTGTCCATAATTTACACTACTCAAATCTTTTGCAATCATGTGGTCTTTTTGTATCTTGCTTAAAATGTTGGCATCTGGTCCACCTATTACCAAATCTTCTGCTCTCAAAATTTTAAATAAAAGAAGGAAACAAAAAAAAGTGATAAAAAAAATCGAAGACTACAAAAAGCAGTTCAGCATAGCCTCCCCACCGCCGCCTCCCTCGGACCACAACCTCTCTCGAAGGGTTTTTGGTGTGAGAAATTATATTCACACATTTTAAATTATTTTTTTCACTTTTTTATTTTTTTACTTTTTTTTTTGCTTGCAAAGACATGAGGTTGGTTTAGTATTTTTCTATCAAGTGTTAGTAGTGTGTAAAAAATATTAAAAAATAAAAAAAAATGTGAGAAAAATAATTTAGGGTATGTGAATATAATCTCTCTATGGGTATGAATCTGGAAGTAATCTTAATATTGTGGATGAGTGTTTTATTTCAAATATGGATCTTGTAATTTTGAAGCTTTAAATTCTTGATTTTCTCCTAACCTTTTGAATTTTTGTTTGGTATATCGATATTTTTACACTAAGAGGAGGGAGAGTTCGGCTAAACCACACAATGAGTAGCCTAATTTGGTGTTGAATTCACTATCTATGAGATTTGAACCTACGACATCTCTACTTCCAAGTGAAGAGGAATACCATCAGATCGTAGTACTTTAGAATTAAAATGGAGAGAAAACGACACAAGAGAAGGTTGGTAATGAGAGACGGTGGTTTTTTGTTTGGGGGTTATGCGTTCTTTTTTTTTTTTTTTTTTTTCCAGTGTTTTTCAAATGAGTTAGCAGTGTTTAACTCAAGTTAGTGGTAGATAGGTGTCACAATTTGAGATGGTCACAGAGATTTTTGAATGTAGAAGATTTAGACTTGGTTTACGCAAGGTGATCGCTGCCCCCAATTTTGAAGACCGTGGGTTTTGCAAAAATTGAAGACAAGGATATGGCGATCGTGGACGATCAGATTTCCAATTGGGATGATGCAGTTGTTTGGGATGACATGACTGTTTGGAAGGGTTATTGTTGCGTCGTCATGCAATGGAGATGGTTTTTTGGATTGCATCGGGTTCGAAAGTGGTTCAATTTTCGTCATTGTTGATAGGTTTTGGTCACCGAAAACATTTGGTGGGGTGTGGTGGGGAGATTTATATGGTGGATAGGTACGTTGATCCGCTGCCTCGCGACAAAAGACTCTACATGCCTTGCCAGGGCAAGGAAGTAGAGTTTAAGGTTCATAAGTTGGATGAAGAGTGGGGAGGTGGATTGAAGTGAAGACTCTAAATACCTTGTTAAATATCTTCCTTTTTCCATGCACATTTTTGATGGAGTGTTAAAATTTTGACATACATTGTTGGCACATCATTGACAACACGAACCATACGGACCAATAATTTTCCTAGCTAACAACCATTAGGCCTAACCAAATTTTTAACAAACGAATATAAGTTAGGTCAGTTAGTTAAAGTGAGATTTGTGTTCCATCTTCTTCCTCATTTTTTAGACAAATACCTTATAAGGGAAAACGGAAATAACAAAACAACTCATGGCACATCAACCCAAGAGATAAATGGTAATTTTCTCGCTCTTATTTTCCCATTATGCACTCATTATTTGTTATGTTCCTTAATTTTCTTTAAAATGATTTAAATTTTGATCCTAGAACAAGAAAAAAAAGTGTAGAGTGCACAAGGTGAAGTAGGAGATAACTTTCCAAACAACTACTAGAAACTAGAAACGCATTGAAACTATTAATGACACTTTAAAAATTTTATTATGCACTTAAAAGATAAAATTTAATATAAAAACATATAATGTTTGTCATTTAGTATTACGGCTTAGCAGTAATTCTTTTTACTTGTAAGTAAGAGATATTAATTTCAATCCTCACCAAATGCAATTTTGAACTGTATTATTACTAGTCTATTGTGAAACTAAAACTACTTTGACTCTTTTAATGTAAATAATACTATTTGTTAAAAAAAAAACGTATAACGACTGACGAGGACAAACGGTAGAAGGCCCAATCTGACAAAATCGTACAACGACAAACACACGACAAAGAGAAAAACACCAACCTAATCTCCAAGTCTCCACGAGGAGAAGAAACTAGCGGCTGCCAAACTCTTTTTAGAGGAAGAGAAGTCGTCCTCAAATTATTTCAGTCCAACCAAAAAGCACAAGGCCGCCATGGACGGCAGCCGAGTCGACTGGACAAACCTCCCACACCAGCTCCCCCCACTCATCGCCTACTGCCTCCAAACCCACCTCGAACACCTCCGAATCCGCAGCGTCTGCAGCTCCTGGCGCTTCTCCATTCCACCCTTGCAAAATTCCAGTGCCCCTAGAGTCCCCATTCCGCTCTCCGAAGGGCCCAGTGCCGTTCTCTGCCCAACCACCGTCTACCTCCTCCGCCCCGACCCCAATTCAAATCCAAATCCTTCCGCGTCATCATCTTCAACCTCTTCGTCCAAGGGTTGGCTGCTGAAGCTGGAAGAGTCTTCCGGCAAACTTCGTCTCCAGAACCCCATCACCAGCTGGCGGATCGGGTCCTTAAGCGATGGTGTTCCGGTAAACCCCATGGATTTGAAT